CCTGAGCTGAAACCAAGAGTCAGACACTTAACTGACTGAGCCACCCAGGCGCCCCAAAGATGACACATTTTTAATACTTTAAGTCCTTACCTTAAAATATTCACTTGATCATCTAGATTGACCTGTCTTTTTTGAGATGACTCCTTTCTGGACTTCAGCTGCCTAAAGCCCCTCTCTACCCGCTCCTTGGCAGCTTCCCTTTCCTTCATGCTAATCAGTCCCTGAACACTGAAATTTCCCACTTTTTGCCGTTTGTTCTCCAGTTCCCATCTTTCTGTTATTTACTACATCAGCTTTCCTACAATTTCATTCCCCTTTCCCAGATTGGACTTCCTCCTTCCAAGATCATGTAGATTTTCAGGTGTGAGCTCTCCCAGTTGCTTGTGCCTCCACCTGTAGCTTAGTCACATATGCACCCACCTGGCCCTCCCTGTACATGAAGGGCTGCCCGAGGTCAGCCCTCCAGGTGGCGCATCCACTTGCTGGTGTTCTCTCCACCCGTCACCCTCTCTCTTTTGGATCTTCCTTCTCTATAATACAGCAAAATATACTCGGAGATATATGGACCAAAAACTGTGTACCACCTTCTATCATTTCCCTTCCCATTGCTGTTAAACTTCTTGACAACTTTCTCCCAACCCTAGTACTATTCCTTTAGTGTAGATTCTCACTGTTTTAATTCTTATATTAGTCCTTTGTCTCTATTTATTGAGCACTTTCCTTCAGACACTGTTCTAAACCTGGGAATACAGTAGTGAATAGGACTTAATTCCTGTCATTGTGGCACTTAAATTCTAGAAGGGGAGGCTAAGAAGAAACACACAGTACACTCTCCGAGAGGGATAGATCTTGCTAGAACATAAAGCAGGGCAGATGATGACTATAGGAGAGGAGGAGCTAGAGAGGATGGTCACAGGTGGCTTTTTTATGGGAGTGATTTTTTTTTTTTTTTAAGATTTTATTTATTTATTTGACAGACAGAGATCACAAGCAGGCAGAGAGGCAGGCGGAGAGAGAGGAGGAAGCAGGCTCCCTGCTGAGCAGAGAGCCCGATGCGGGGCTCGATCCCAGGACCCCGGGATCATGACCTGAGCCGAAGGCAGCGGCTTAACCCACTGAGCCACCCAGGCGCCCCGGGAGTGATATTTTTAGCAGAGACTTTAGTGTCAGTGAAGCATATAGGAAAGATCATAGGGAACATCTTCGAGGAAGACGTAGTATCTGGTATAAATGCACAAGGTGGGAGCAAGCTTGGTGTGATCAGGGCCCCACAAGAAGGCCAGAGTGACTAGCGAGTAGCGGTGAGAGGCCCTGGGGCTGGACAGGGGGCCAGAGAAGTAAGCAGAAGCTAGACTGTGTAGGTCATATAAGGAAGTTGTGTTTCAGTCTGAAATAGGGCGCCATTGGAAGGATTCAAGTAAGGAGGGCCATGATGTGTCTTCTCATTGAGTAAAACAATCTTCTCAGAAATGCTCAAATATAGCATCTCAGAATATATGCCTATGTTCTTGGATTGTCCTCTTGGGAATACATTTTTTTCCCCCCAGAAAACCCATGTTGTAGAGGAAGAAAGGGAGTATCAAGTACCCGTACTTGAAAGAAAGGGCTCTTTATTTTTTTCAGCTAACAGGCTAAAAGAGCTGCTTCTGAAATTTTTGCTCATGGTTCCAGATTTTAATTTTATTAGTATTGATAATAATCATGGTCATTTTAAGGAAACTTTTGGGATAATATGACAGTATTGTTGCTTCTCGTTCATTTACCTCATATTTGTGTTTATCTTACATGCAAGACACTTCTTTATATTTTAGCCCAGTATTAGGTTGAGCACAGACCTTAAACCATGAATCCTTTTGGCTTAGTTGCATGAAAATGATAGCCCTGAGTCATCAAGAGAAGCATATAGTTTGGCAGTTGAGATGGGGTTTTTTGCTAATGTATTAGCACTCTTCCTCCTGGTTCCTATGGTGGATAGTGGCATGCAATGAAATGACTGGCTTGTGTGATCTGAGGCCAGAGAACTCAGGGAAGTGACAGGTCACAGAGAGCAAACCAGTGATGTCCTCTCCGATTCATGAATAAAAGGTTCAAACCAACTATGTAACATAGAAATGAGTTTCTGAATGCCTTGAATACCAATGTCTCAGCTAAGATTAAATATCTGAGTGTGTAATGGTGATACCACATTACATTGAACTGTAAAAAAGTTCACATGTGATTCTTAAGCTCTATGATGTTATGGGGAAACCTTTTAAATGTTTGCATTTCTGGGAGTTCAAAGGCTGAGACCTTTCTTGAGCTCTGCCATCCCCTGACTCATGGCCGTGACTTTCCTTTCTGGGACTCAGTTTCCCCTGCTTGTCAAAGTCATTGGACTGATCTTTAATGTCCCTCTAGCACTAATGTTGGGTGACTTGATGAGTCCAAGAATTGCCTTTTGGGGAGAGACCTGTGAGATAGAAGTGATAGTAGAACTCCGTGACAATTCAACTGAAAACTTTCATTTTTAGCCAAAGAATTATTTAATCTCACAAAGAAAATGTTTTAAGCTTAATGGGATCTCTTGATTCTGAGTGGATCTGCCAAATCCTTTTTTTTTTTTTTTTTTTTTTCTCTGACAGTTATCTCTAATGATTATGTCAAGGGCAGGATGAATGTGATGACACAGAGCCAGTATATATTTACCCACGTGGGTGGCTAAGGAGAGTGGGATATAACGGAGATTTAATGGATATTTACAAAAACCAGTGAACTACCTCAAAATGGGATTCTTTTTTGGCTTGTTCTACCAAGAAGGGTAGTAATGTAATCTGTCTTTTCCATTTAGCTTGTTGACTATTGATTGTCTGTTTAGCTAATTAAACCCTGATTTACATCTTATGTTAAAAAAAAAAAAAGTCTCAGGACTTCTTACTAGTGTGTGTGAATGGATTTGCACCTCCTACTGTTGAGCCCCTCAGGCTTCCTTTCACTTGTCAAGGGATTGGTTCAGGACACTGCATTTGTCAGTCTTACAAATACCAGTCTGTAAAGCTTTATCTTCTTGAGACTGTTTGTTTATTCTTGCAATTGCCAGTTTATTTGAAAGATCAATGAGAACATGAAATGTTTTCTTACATATTTTCCCTTTTATTGCAGCTATAATAAAAATGCTCTTTTAGTAAATAAAGATGGTTCAGTTCATTGCAGAAGTGGTTTTGTTTGTTTGTTTGTTTTCATTATCTTCCGGGTAGCACCCAGAGCCAAACATAAAGTTGAGCCATGCCATGGTTTTCCAGCTTCTTGTAAGAATCTGGAAACTACACGTCACAGTTATCTAAAGAAGCAATCATTTTTCTGCTTTAAACAGGATAAATACAAAGTCAGTAACTTTGTAAGTATGCCATAGATATCATTGGTTTTTATAGGAAAAATAACTTTTTCCTGATGTTCAGCTTTAGGAAAACTTGACATATAAAAATACTCATATTTGTGAAATGCACTTAACTTCTTTTCAAAAAAATAACATGCTCCATTTTAGTATCATATGAGGCATACTTACAAATCATCCACTAGTAAAATGGTTAAATATGAATTTTTAGCCTCTGATTGAAATGGAAATTATTTCTCAAATATCCTGGATAATTCCTCTATAGAGCTGGAAGACTAGCGCCTGGGTGGCTCAGTCAGTTAAGTGTCTGCCTTCCGCTCAGGTCATGATTCCGGGGTCCTGGGATCGAGCCCTTTATCAGGCTCCTTGTTCAGCAGGGAGTCTCCTCCCTCTCCCCCTTCCCCTGCTTGTACGTTCTCTCTCTCTCAAATAAATAAATAAAATCTCTTTTAAAAAAAGAACTGAAAGACTGCACCTCAACTTGACTCAAAGAAGAATGAATACGTACTGTTAAATAACTCTCATACAGTCATATCGTCAATATGAGTGAAGTAGTGGTTCTTTGCCTATCTTACTGAAATTCTTCTATTACTTGTGTGAGATTGAAAATGTAACAACCGTACCCAAATTTATACTTCCAAGTGAATATTGGTTCCTTTAAAATAGTTACCTGGGAAAGCAGTGCAGTTGTTTTCAGCAATGCCAGTATTGCCATGGTTCCTTCTTTTGAAACTGCCTCCAGAGCAGCTGTACCTATGTGGTGAGGTTCACATGGACTTGAGTTTATCTGTTGATTCATTTGACGAATATTTATCAAATGGCTACTGTCTGCTAGTAATGCTCATTTTCAGGTGGATGAAAACATAAAACCAGTAAACAGCATGACCCTGTCCTCCTTCTGTTTACAGTCTAATGGTCTGGTTTTTGGAACCAATTGATTTGGGAAAGATGAAGGATGTTAGTGAATACCATTTTAGTGAAAAATATGAAACAGGGAGATTGGTTTTTCTTTTTTACTTCATAAAGTGGTTTTCGGAGTGATATCAAAGAGAATTTTTAAAACATTTTGAACTGAGTATCTTTGGAATAGGTTGATTGCTTGTCTTGGTACTTAATTTGAAGGACAACATTCATTTAGAAAGATGTTAATAATACTCTTTTACTTTATTATTTTTTTATGTGTATTTTGGACCTTATAGTTACCGCCCTTTGTTTAGTTAATTTGCAAATTCTAAGAGAGAGTCCTGGTTTACATTTGAGAAAAACTGTTACACAAGGTAGATAGATACCTAAATGTGGTTGACCTGTTGATCTTTAGTTTTGTGTATGTATTTAATTTTACATTAAGTGGTGAGTCATAGCCTGCCCTTGACTAGTTTATTTCGGTTTTTACAAGTATGTGATTATACACTGGAAAATAAAATGGAAATACCTAGCTATGCTTCATCTGGTATTATGATATTATGTCATAAATAAAATTGGACTAAAAACCAGTTTGACCTTAGACATCCAATGCACAATGTAGGAAGAGAAGAAAAAAAATATTCTCATAGTGAATACGCAGAGGAAGAACTCAATGCAGCGTTCTGGTAGTTTTATTTATAATAATGCAACATATCTGTCTCTACAGGGGGCTCCTTGGATGTATATAGAAAAATTCCAGAGCATGTCCTTGGAAGAATTGCAATAGCAGTGAGTATATATGGCTTCAACCTTATGAAATTGGGGTGATTGAATCTTTCTAGTCTAATCTGTTTCCCTTATATCCTCAGGATGTTTTCTTTTTCTTCAGTCCTTGTTGACTGCCAGGGTCTTTTCCGCTCTCTTCTTTTGTCGTTTTTGCATTTTCTTCTTTTCATAGACCAACCCACAGTAACAATACAGTCACATGACATACTTCAGGATTATGGAGACTGTGACCTCTTCTGCTTTCATATGTTTACATGGCCTTAGTATGCTTGCTAACCAGTAACATTTCCAGGTTCTTCAGCAAGAAAGCTGTTTGGTATCTCAGGAAGAAAATTGAGGGTTGCTGGTGGGTGGAAGGTAGGGAGAGGGTGGCTGGGTTATGGACATTGGGGAGGGTATGTGCTGTGGTGAGTGCTGTGAAATGTGTAAGCCTGATGATTCACAGACTTGTGCCCCTGGGGCAAATAATACAGTATATGTTAATTTAAAAAATAAAAGCTGTTTGGGGGACATTTTGTAATATTAAGGATGTGATTAGAAAATACTTTTCAAGTCCAAATTATTAAAATAAAACTATTTATAAGAAAACACTATTCTTTTTTGTTTGTGTGTGTGTGTGTGTTTTTTTTATTTAAATTTTATTTTTTTTAAACATATAATATCTTTTTATCCCCAGGGGTACAGGTCTGTGAATCGCCAGGTTTACACACTTCACAGCACTCCCCATAGCACATACCCTCCCCAATGTCCATAATCCCCCCCCCCCACCCCCCTCCCCCCATTAACCCTCAGTTTGTTTTGTGAGATTAAGAGTCACTTATGGTTTGTCTCCCTCCCAATCCCATCTAAGAAAACACTATTCTTAAAGACTTTTGCAGACTTTTTCTTTTTTGGTTTTTAATTTTTTTGCCAGTGATGTCTAAGAACTTATTCCCTCTGTGATTAAAATCAGTTTTCCTGTTTTCTATATTCACACATTAATTGATGAATATTTTAACTAGTCTGACATTACTATATAAGCTCTAGATTTGAAATTTGGAATAATACAGGCTGAACAGCGTCTAAGAGAAGTCATGGGGTGGTGTAATAGTAAATAGTTGCTAAACTAAAGGCACTCTGATAACTTAAGCAGTTTAATGCAGAACAAAGAGGTTACACCATGTACCATTTAATTAAATGGCTGATGTTTGCATCCATTATACATCAGACTGACAACTCAAATCCTTTAATCCAACGTGGACACTTATTTGGTCTCAGTTCATTGTAATTCACAGCTTTCCTTTTTTCTTTCTAATTATTAGTGTGAACTGCCCAGGGTGATGAGAACTTTCTTTTCTGATGCTTTTGCTAAGTAGCTTCTAATCTACATGTTTAGGTAGATTAGTTTATTATGAAATTTGAGTACTTAAATCACTATTTTAGATGAAAATAAAAATGTTTCATTTCCTCTTTTAATCTCAGAGGGGAATGAATGCTTTGTGGCTTTTGGCAGTTCCTGGCTCTAAAGTTTAATAACACGTATAATAAAGGGCAAAAAAAGGCAAGGATACCAATTGAAAAAGAAAAAAGTATATGAGTTCTATATACTCAATTATGTGTTGAACTTGGCTAAAATAGGAATCTGCCTCCTTCAGTCAGAGAAGCATGTTCTTCCTGGACTTCATAAATCTTACCTCCCTCTTGTGTGGGGCATCCGCACAAGGCCATTGGTCTTTTCAATTCTACTGGAGTGAGAAGCCTGCGAAGTGAATAGAGTCAGCAAAAATAATAATAATCGGGCTTCAAATACCGGGGTTACCTCTTGGGTAATCGAAAATACAACAAAAATTATTTTAAATAATTTTTTTAAAGATTTTTATTTATTTATTTGACAGAGAGAGATCACAAGCAGGCAGAGAGGCAGGCAGAGAGAGAGGAAGGGAAACAGGCTCCCTGCCGAGCAGAGAGCCCAACACGGGGCCCGATCCCAGGATCCCGGGATCATGACCCGAGCCGAAGGCAGAGGCCCAAACCACTGAGCCACCCAGGTGCCCCTATTTTAAATAATTTTTAAAGGCACTTAAAATGAGTGCTAGCCCAAAGCATTGTTTACATTTTCCCTTGCATTTTTTAAAAAAATTAGGGGGTTTTCTCCCCCCCCCTAAAATGTGTCCAATTTCTTTAGCTTTTATGGCTCATAAGGTCATAAGAATGAAAACTGCTTGTGGCCAGAGCAAAAGAAATGCTTTTGATAATTTAGCTCTTCATCTGCCACTTCTTATAAACTCTGCTGGGGCCTAAGCTTGCACAATGCCTCCAAAGCATATTTTTTTAATGTAATTTGATTAGGCTACAAACTTGAATAATCATTTGTTGCAGTTGACAGACAGGAGCGGAAGGATTCCCCCAATCAAAATAAGACTAGTAAACTGATGTTTGTAGGTCTTCTCTCCTCTACCGTTCTGAAGACAGATCAGCATTGTTCTTTGAGTTCCCTCCATGAGGCCCAAGAATGCACATGGCTGCTCTTTGCCATGTCAGAAGCAACAGAATCAGAGGAGAGAGGAGAGAAATAGTATCGAATACCTCCCTGTGCCAATGTTGATGAAGCGTTTTATTTATTTATGTATAAATATTATGTCATTTAATCTTTATTGCAAACTCTAAATTGTAGGTTACTGATCATGTTTTTATACATGTGAAAGATGAGCTTTAGAAAAATTAAAGTTATCTATAACTAATCAGTAAAGATTCGAACCCAGTGCTGTTTTACCCCAGGCCCCATGCTCTTTCACTCTCCTTTCTTAAGAGAATGAGAAAAAAGGAGAGGAAGGCCTGAAAAAGAGAACAAAGTTAAAGAGAAAAAAAAAAAAGAAAGAGAGAGAGAGGGAGGGGAAAAAAAGAGAGAAACATATGAGAAAGAAGTGGAGTGACACATGGAATTGCTTCAGATTCCTTTCATGTCTTAGAACCACATCTAGGCATTTCATCCTCTCCTCAGTTAGCTGTATTTCTCAGGTTCTAATAACCTGGCATGCTGTGGATGTCCAAAGCTCCAAGGTTCGTTACAGGATGGCCCCTGTCAGCTTATATGATGTGTTGTTTGAATCTTCTCTTATAGGATATATGGCAAGAGAATATTTTTCCAGGAAAAAAGCCATTCACATAAACTGGCCGATTTTAGCCTTCCAGCTTGCTCAGTGATTTTTACCCACTTTCCATTTGAATGTGGTTCCCTAGAAAGAGGAATGCCTTTCTACCATTCCTGGCCATCCTCGCACATTTTATTTTTCCTCTCATTTCTGAAGTAGTGACATTGTGTGCTGTATTTTGAGTGGTAATGTTGATTGAAGTTGTCCCTGAAAGGATGTGCACTTGACATGTCAAGGAGTGAGTGATTGACAGCAGATATAAGTACTTTTAGTGTCAAGGCTTTGTCAAGTCATCGTTGTGAAACCTGGCATACTGAATACCAATAATACCCTCTAGAGTTTCAATGGACAGATTTCTAGCTCCCTCTACACTGCTTTTTATACGCTTCTCAAGGAAAACGTAGTCTATTTTGACAAAGTTGGAAAAAAAATCACACATTCTTTTTGAAGCTCTAATAAGATTTATAATTTTGTTAAGTATCACAAAACCAGCATTTGTTTTACTTTTTTTTTTTTTTTTTTTGCCTGATGAGCTGAGTGTATGGATTGCCTTCCCCTTGTGTGTTTACTGGTTATTCATTTTTTGTGGGACCAGTTTTTAGTGGCAAACCATCTTTAACGGGAAGGTTTTATAATATGCAACTAAGCTTATAAATTGGGAAGTTTAGCCCTAATTCCAGAACTCAGAGGTGATTACTTCCATGCTAAATAAGATGGCCTCATCCTACTACCCAAAGAGAAAATTGTTTTCATTATTGCTGTTATTTTTATAAGCATTTATGGAAATATTTTTGCCTATTTCCTTCCCCTGTCCATTATCATTATTACTATTTTGATATTTTCTTTTTTCCTTTTTTTTTTTTTTAACTATCTTACCATCCAGAACATATGTGTTTTATTGTAATGACACTTATTCCAAATCCTGGAAGAAATAATTTGATATAAAAATGTATTCTGTTCTCTTAAAACAGACTAACTTATTGTGGAAATGATCATACCTCGCTAGCAAATTTTTCAGGAGTATATCCCCCTCTAAGAACTAAAATATGTCGATCTCAGCATTAATTGATATAGATTTTTCCTTCTTCTAGATCTTTAGTATTTGGAAATTGGTTTTCTCCTTTTGCATTTCTCTTTTTAGTATTGCTCTTAGTCTTTCTGGTTCAACTAAAATCCTTCCAGATTTAGCCCCAACCTTCTTCTCATCATTTTCAAAGTATATATATAAATCACTCAGTTACTCCTCATAATGGCAGGTTTCCTTGTTTTTACAATCCTGACTTACCTAAAATTTCTTATAATGGTGGGTACTTTTAAATTCTGGTAGTAAATTTTGAGTGATAATGGTTCATTCCATTGTATCTGATACGTAATTATGAATAGTCAACCTTGATATTGGTAGGTTCACACTCATGTGCATACAGGGTCAGTGGGTGTGAATAAAACACGTGCATCCCCTTTTACAACCATTTCTATATAAAGATTGTTAAAGCATTTAGTGATTAAAATTCTCACATAGATGGTAACCTATGTACTTAGGGTCTTAGAAACATCTTTTTTTTTTTCTTCAGAATCTTATTTGACTGATTATTCTTAACACAGGCCGTTCAATCAGAAATCCAATGTAATTCGAATGTTTGTATTTTCTCACTTTATTTTCTTGACTGCCCTTTCAGTGTTTCCTACATAACCCCACACATACGCTTGTATCTGCCAGCCTGGCTTGCGAGGCCGCTCATCTTGGTATACTTTGTTCTTTCCTACCTGAATATCACTTAAAACATTTTTTGGAAACTTTTTCTTTTTTAATTATTTTAAACTCACAGAAAAGTTGTAAGATGCTTCCTCCAGATTCCCCAGTTGTTAACAGTTAACCACGTTTGCTATGTGTTTATTTCCTGAAACATTTGAGAGTACATTGCAGACATCATGGCCCTTTACCTCTAAATACTTCAGGTGTATATTTCTTAAGAACAAGGATATTCTCTCCCATCAGCGCTGTATACTGATCAAAATCAGGAAATTAGCATTGGCTGGTATAATATTAACCAGCCATCTAAATCAGCAGTCCTAGCTTAATTTTGCCAGTTGTCCAGTAATATCCTTTCTAGACCAAAAGAATAAAAATTTCGGGTCCAGGGGCACTCAGTTGTTGGGTGTGTGCCTTCTGCTCAGGTCATGATCCCAGCGTCTTGGGATCAAGCCCCACATTGGCTCCCTGCTCCGCAGGAAGCCTGCTTCTCCCTCTCCCACTTCCCCTGCTTGTATTCTCTCTTTCACTGTCTCTCTCTCTCTCTCTCTGTCAAATAAATAAATAAAGTCTTAAAAAAATAATTCCAATCCAGCATCCAGTCTAGGGTTATACATTGTATTTAGTTGTCATGTCTCTGGTCTCTATTAACTCGGAGCAGTCTCTCAGCATTTCTTTGTCTTTCCTGACCTTGATCTTTTTGAAGAGTACATGGCCCCAGCACGTGGACAGTATATTTTTACCTTGGCCTGAACACTTTCCTCTTTCCTTTACATCAGTTGAATCTGTTACTTAGAGCTCAGCACTTTGGTAAAGCCTTCCTGATTATAGGCAGGAAAAGCGATCTCTACTCCCCCCATTGCCTTTCATTAGTTAACTTTTTGAAAAATGTCTTTCCTTAGTCATAGATGTCATTACTTAAAAAAAGAAAATTCCACATGCGGAAGTATAGGAAAGGAAGGCCTTTCCTCCCCGCCCACACCACCACTGAGAATTTAATAGATGTGTTTCCAGGTCATGTTGCATGCACATCCATTCCTTTTTTTCATTCATTGTGTCTTAACTTCAGAACCCTGGAAGCCAGTTAAAGGAAAGAGGTCTATAACTTACTCATTTGGCATCCTCAAAGAGGATGGCACAGAAATGGGAGATGTGCAAAAAATGCTTGTTGGTTTTCAGAGTTTTAAAGGAAGAATGATGGTTGATATGGTAATATGTTTAATATTATAAATATATATTTATATAAAATATAAATAAAATATGGAAAATTTCTGATAAAAATCATAATTGGACTGTTTCTCTTTCTTAAATTTAGGTTGTTAAAGGCCTCACCTATTTGTGGAGTTTAAAGATTTTACATAGAGGTATGTATCACACTTACAAGCTCTGACTTAATTTGTGAATTTGGGTGGGTAGGGAGCTCTCCAGGTACCTTGATTTTTAAATAAAATAAACAATCTGATATTTAAGCCAGCTGACATATTTGGTAATCAAAAAGATGGCTGCTTTATAAATGTTTTTCTTATTTTCTCCTTCAGCTGCTCTCATTTTAGATTATAGGCAAGGTATTTTTGTGGATGGTTACCAAACATATAAAAAGGTATTTCATGGTATTTGAAAATCATAGGATCTGATTTTTAATCCTTAACTCTAGTTACTGCAAAGCCTTCACTTTCTATACAGTTGTGTCCCTTCCACTTACTAATGCTTCACAATCACCATACACTGATCCTTAAAAGATTGCCTTACATACATACCTTGAAAGTAAAACTTTAAACAAGGAGTTGGTGAATGCACCACAGATTAGTCTCCTAGTCTATTAACAGAACAAACGAGAAGAATAATCAGGTAACTGTTGAATGTTGTGAAAGGAACCTCCCTTTGAATTTTTCAATGTTCCCAACATGTCTGAATTCATTTGGAGCAAATTATTAAGTGAGAAACAGACCATAGCAAAGCAACTTCAGGGCCTCCTAGTACTAATGGTACTGTTTAATTTTACACATCTACTCAGCCCTGCTTCGTGCACATTTGGGGAATGCAATGGCATGCACATTGGACAGGATTAAAGGAAAGTTTTTTTTTTTTTTTAAAGTTACAAGCTTTGAGAGCGTGAGTTAACAACTGATGCCTTCAATTGTAGTATCACATCTGTCACTAAGGGTTGTTTCCTTTGTGGTGGTTTTAAGATCTTAGTGATTTCAGATTTCTTAAATCCCTCATCCCCTTTTGAAGAGGATGTGTAGACTTTGACAAGTAAAACTTGCAGTTTTTGAAGGCGTTTATGCAGATTAAATGGAATCACGAACCAAGTTTTCCCTTAAAGCCAGTCCATTCTGTTTCTAGAGTAGAGTTGGCGCAAAATGTAGGCGTAGGGGCAGTGAGCTGAGCTGTGTTGGTGTTACTCTTCCTGGGAAGAAGTCATCATGCGAACACATCTCGTGGGTGAGAAAAGAATGGAGCATTTTCGCCACCGAGGTTAAGAGAGAATGGTATTTAACATAATATGACCTATATTGCTTCTATTCCCTGTACTCCCACCTCCCCACACTCATCAACCCATAAAGTGGTAATAGCCCTTTGAATCGGAGTTAATCCAGTGGTCAGTTCTTGTCATTTTATTGATTTTTATGGACATCTGCTATCCATTTGACAAAGGAACTCAAGGAAGACATCAATTCTCAACAGCAAAGCCTTCATTTAAAAGGACCTTGCCATAGAAATGCAAATGTTACTATTAAAGTGATTCTTAGGCTTGTCCTGTACTCTGGGCATACAGCATACTTCTGGCTTACAGTGAATTCTCCCTAACCAAAACTTTCTGTGAGGAATCTTAGTAGCACTAAGAACTATAGTGGATAGGGAAATACTGTTTGGTTTTTCTGCCATCATCTTTGTTTTTTCTTCTTTGCAATCATTGGTTTTAGTTTTACTCTTTGTTTTGGAGAAATAATTGAATTTTTCTGTGAAATGGGATCTTGATAGACATGTTTCAAATGGATTTGTGCTTGGGATCTAAGAATAAAGCCCAAGGTGTACGTCAGATTCCCGGAACAACCATCTGTAATCACTGTGGGCAAGTGTGGTTGACCAGAGCCTCTCAGAGGCGAGTAGGTCTTCCCTAGCTCTGAATGCAATTTGAGCTAAGAAAAGGTTCTTTGGTCAGTTACTGCGGAAGCCTTTACTTTCTATACAATTGCATCCCTTCCTTTGACTAACGTTTCAGATATCATCCTGTGCTGTTCCTTAAGAGATTGCTTCACGTACCTTGTGGCCTTAGTGGCTTTCCTGATTGAGGACATAAAGTTTCCAAAAAGGAATCCTGAACTTGTACTTCTCTTCTCAGTCTTTGCTGTCTGGCTGAATTCCTACTGCGTCACCCACTGTATAAATGCTCCTAGTTAAGGGAGGAAGTTATCTGTGAGGGCGGAGTGGGGACAGTGGTAATAGGCCAACAAACTTTCCCAAGGTTTTAAATAAATACCAGTGAGTGAATGTGCATCTGTGTCTGTCTAGTTGGAGAGACTAATGAATTACAGTGCAGGTGAACAGTTATTCCCAGTAATTATAGGTACCCACCTAAAGAAATAATATGCTGTGTTACTACACCTCATTAAATATATTTATATGCTTAGCTTTAGAGTTTCCTGGTTATTCATGGCAACTTTTGCCTTCTGGATTTAAAAGCGTGTGCTTTTATTGAAGAGTGGAAGAAGCCAGGTGTCCCTGAAGACTTTTGTGAAGCATTGTAATGAGAAATTTACTCTAGATTGAGTAGTTGTTAACTTAATATTTTAGAGGTTTTGTCCATATTTAATAACTTGGATTCCATAAAAATAAGATTAAAGATGCTTTTCTATTTACCAAAAAGCTATTTAATTTTCTCCCTGATTAAAAAATTATAGCTTTTTAGATCAGTTCAATCAGGCAATTAAAGATCAGAGCTTCCAAGTTCAGCTAAGGCAATTAAATAGGTAATATGCTTGTTTCTACACTTTTGCTATATAAGCTCATGGCTGTACCTTCTTAAAAGCCCATATACTCATTTTTGCTTTCTCTAAATGAATGATGGATAGGAATTCTAGCTGAACATGTGTCACATTGTCAAATCAAAGGCAGTGGTCCTTCTGCGGGGGTGGGGGTGGGAATGGGGGTGGGGGGCTGCTACAGGTACCACAAGAACAGAGTGAACAGAAGATGGTGCAGAGAAATGCTCATGAGTGATCTAAGTTTCTTTCTCCTTTATCTTGGTCTAAGTACCTGTGTTGTCCACCAATCATCATTTCCTTCCCTACAAATTCTGCCCCTAGAGCCAGGGTCTTGTACTTATGAACACAGATTTTAAAAGACGAAGAAACAGAGATGCATTCAGTTACCTAATGAGAAAAGAAAATACTGTTTCTCTCATTTAAATGGCTTCCTCAGAACACTGCAGTCCTGGATTTTTAGCCGTGAAAACATAAATGCCTACATAGTATCTTTTGGAATTTATAAAAAACACAGTTAATGGCTTCCAAACAAGCTGGTGAAAATTAAGAGTCTTTCCTGCAGCGCGTATTCAGTGAGGACTGTAGAGTAGAACGGACTCTGAGCCGCAGCAGTGAGAGCACCCACCCTGCGAGGCTTGTTAGTCTGGCACAGGTTTGTTTCTTCCATGTATGTAATGTCCACTGGACCTTTTTTTAAAGAATTGAAATATAACAGTTACTGTTTATAGTGAATGATCAAATATTATACTCAATAAGGTTTTTTTTTAGATTTTTTAATTTTTTAAGGATTTTGTTTGTAGGAGAGAGAGATGAGCATGAGTAGAGGGAGGGGCAGAGGGAGAGAGAGAAGGACAAGCAGACTACCCGCCTGAGCGGGGAGCCCGCTGTGGGACTCGATCCCAGGACCATGAGATCATGACCTCAGCCAAAGACAGACACTTAACTGACTGAACCACCCAGGTGCCACATCAGAAAGATTTTACTAGTTTTATTTTATTCCTGTAGTGATTTGGTTGAGATACATATGCAAGTACTTCATAGACTGTCAAATGCTAATAATGAGCCCAAGTCTTTATTATATAATAACTATGAATTAATCACTTTTTATCCAGTTTAAGCACATACCACTTCCAGATAAGCCAGGAAGAGAGTTTATTATTCTTTGTCTTACCGGGTCAAAAATTGTGAAAATCTTTTCTCTAAGATAGACATGTGGTATCGCATGAGAACATAATTATTAATAATGTTTGAAAGTTCCACCAAGATTAACTACTGTGGAAGATTGTCTTTATTAAGCAGCACATGTGTGAGCCCCCTAACCATAGCATGTACTGACTGGATAAAAACAAAGAAAATGAACAGTGAGAAAGTCTGGTAGACCAGATTTGACATTGCAGCAAACATCGCAGCTTAACTTCAAAACATACATCGCCACTAATGAGGTGAGAGCCCTGCATATTAATAAGCCTGCAGCTCCAGCCACGGCCATCATTACCCACATCAAACATAAATACAAGATTAACACCTGTGCCATTTCTTTGGAAGATGTGCGAATGCCCCGGCAGTAACTGCTCGCTCTTTCCCTGAGGATAAAAAATAGAAATGGAAGGGTAATGAGAATAGAGCTTAGATTAAGAAAATAAAATTGGCAATCAGGCTCGGGCAATCTTACACAAATGGAGGAGTTTATTGAAAGACAAAAACCTCGATGGTTGGTGTCCCAAGACATTTTTTGTGTATATGAACCTGGTTCATTTCATCTGCTTTCTCTAGTAGGAGAGTTTTTTTGTGTTTTTGTATTATATATAAATATACTTTTTAAATTTTTAAAAAGATTTTATTTATTAGAGAGAGAGAGAGAGAGAGAGATAACACACGTGCACACGTGCAGGAGAAGGGCAATGGGAGGCGGAGAGAATCTCAAGTAGACTCAGCACTGAGCACAGAGCCTGACAAGGGCTCGATCTGACAACCCCAAGTTCAGGACCAGAGTCAAATCAAAAGTCGGGCACTTAACCGACTGAGCCACCCAGGATTCCCCCTATGTTTATAATTTATGTTATTCTGAAGGCAAACACTGTGCAAATAGAATTGTGTTTAGAGAAACCAAGTCTTGTGGTTTCAGCATGCATGTTGGAATGTTATTTTCTGCTCCCTCCTGGCTTTACTTGTTACAAATCTGGCCTCACACAGACCTAATTGGAACTACCTTAGATTCCAAAGTTGTGTCATTAGTTCAGTCATGTAGCAACTATTATTTAATACCAGCTATGTTCCAGACACTATGTCTGTATTCCAGACACTTGGAATACATTAGTATTAAAAAAAAAGATTCCTATACTCATGGAACTCACTCTAGTAAGGGTAGAGCAGGG